CTCCAGGGCCTCTCTTTCCCTGGGCTCCAGCAGACATACTGAACCTCCCTTCCTCCGTTGGCGCCAGAGCGTAGTACCCCCAAACTTGGGAATCAGTATATGCCACTCCCCCAGATAGGCTGCCTTCAAGTTCCAGCTAGTGTGAGCAGACCTCCAAGTGCTCTGGAAGGCTTTCTCGAGTAGGAATTTACATCTGTAAGGGCAGCCACCAGAAAGGGTCTCAGAAAGAATGCTGCCCCAGATCACTTCCTACCTGAGAGACCGCTGCCCGGCGCCAGCTTTATTCACTTCCCCGGTCCTTCCCTTCCCCAGAAGCCTCAACCCGGTTCCCTTCTATATATAAGCTTTTGTCACCCGACTCTCCGAGTCCCATATTTTGTCGGACTCCCTTGGGAATGTAGGTCATTAGTTTCAATTCTCTCTACAGCTGTTTTGTCATTTACATTTAAGGTGCAAACAAACCTAGAGGGGTGGAGGGAAGTTACCTCTATGTAAGGCTTTTTGGGCTGTAGGGCATTAATCCCTTTTCTGGCACAGAGCTCTTAGATTAATGACTATCAGGTGACTTGGGGTACACACTACTTCCCAACACCACCTCTGCTAGGAGTCCGACTAGGTCTATGTCCCATGGCTCTGCTGTTCACAGAGGAGCACAGCGATGGGACAGAGAAGGAGCCTGGCAGGAGGAAGACTCTAGGACAGTTGACAGCTACCAATCTGCAGCGTCCAGAAGGAAAGTGGGTCCCTCCTACCCTAGCTACTCCGAAGGGTTTCCTAGGGAAGTGTTTTCAGACCTGCAGAACAATTGACACTGCTTCTACCTCAGCTTTCTTCCCTGAGCCCTGCCACCCCCCCCCGCCCCGCCCCTCCGTTTTCTCTGTGTAACCCCTAGCTGTCCTGGAACTTGCTTTGTAGATCAGGCTGGCCTCGAACTCACAGAGATGCCCCGCCTCTGCTTCCCACCACCACCACCACCACTGCCCAGCCAGCCCTGGACCCTCTTTTTATTGGCTCATTGATTTATTCGTAAAAATGAAAGTGACAGTTCATCTGGTGACTGTCTGCCTTTCGCTTCAGGTTTCAGTAGCAAACCTAGAGGAGTTCTGGTTCTGTCTTGTTTACAGCCCCCCTGGGTGGACTCCTCCAACTCGCAGAACCTGCAGTCTCTCTGCACACCTCTCCCAGACCTGTTTCCATAGGACACAATGTGGGAGGGCCGAAAAGATTGCCCAACTCTTAAGATGATTTACTGTGTGTCCAATTGAACAGTGTCTGAGGGATGGGGGGTGTGGCTGCAGAAGGGAGCCAGGTTTTATAATGGGACCCAGTGCTTAATGAAGTAGGGAGGTGGGCTTGGGCTTGCAGTGGTGAAGATCAGAGAGCTTGATTCCTGTTTTGGAGCTGCCCTTCTGGAGTCTTGTGTTTTTGCTGGGGAGTAGCCCAGAGGCAGGAGGTGGGATGAGCCTCAAGGGAGGATTTAGTGTTGGGATGCTAGGTGCTAACCCCGCCCACCCCCCAAGTGCTGGCTGCCTGGTGCTAATGTTAAGCCCTGGGGAAAATCATTGGTTATTGGTTCTTTGGGCATCTGGAAGGTGGGGTTGATAATAAGACCTACCTCATAGCCCTGTGGTGAGGATTTTAAATGAGATAATAAGCATGCAGTTAACACTAACCACTAGAAGAGGTTTAGGGGTGTGTGTGTGGGGGGGGGAAATGACTGCTTAACCCCTGGTATATATAGTCACTGCTCCTACACACTGGAGTTGGCAGAGATCACAGCCAACAAGGCAAAACCTACATACTTGCAGGTGGATCTCTGTGAGTTTGAGGCCATACTGGTCTACAGAGCCAGTTCCAAGACAGCCAAGGCTACACAGGGAAATGCTGTCTTGAATTTCAAAACCAAAACCTCCAGGTGTTGGTGGTGCATGCCTTTAATTCCAGCACTCGGGAGGCAGAGGCAGGTAGATCTCTGAATTCAAGACCAGCCTGGTCTATAAGAGCTAGTTCCAGGACAGCCTCCAAAGCCAGAGAAATCCTGCGGGGGTGGGGGTGGGGACAGAAACAAAAAAACCAAAACCAAAAAACCTACATACTGTCACACAAGTGGAGCTCAAGGTGACTAAACAGTAGTGCCTAATTGGAGTCCTCCATGGGAGACATCCTGGGGAATAGGCAAAGGTCAAGAGAAGGCCCCAAGGTCCTGCCTGAGGTGGTCACTCAGATGTTGAGGAAGCAGGTGTGAAGGGTGTTGCCTCCCAAACAGAGGTTGAGACTCAATCCAGTTGTTCATTGCTTGGGAGGCTGGTTCTGGACCATGCTAATTGCATGGGAGAGAAACTGAGGCCAGGTTCCTCATAAATCACAGAGAACTGGAAGTCTGTCTGTCCATTTATGTATTTGCTAGGGATTGAATCCAAGCCTGTATGCATGCTCCAGCAAGCACTCAACCACAGAGTTACACCCTCAGCACGTAGGGGCAGATTTGTACAAGAGTATAGGTTGGGTGAAGGTTCTAGCCTCTGAGTGCAGGTCCTGGCTGCCCAGTGCTGTCTCTAGGCCTCTGTGTGTGTGTGTTTGTGGGTAGGTGGGGGGTTCCTGCTGTGTTGGTGAGGAACTAGACCATGCCCTTCTCCCTCCTCCAGCCTTTTCTAAATTCCCTTGAGACCAGGACCCATGTGGCCTTCATTTCTGTGCTTTCATTTCCTCTAGAATCAAATGGAACTTTCTCGACCTTTGAAAATTCTCAGAAAAGAGATCTGTGTTATCCAAACCCAGATGGTATTTAGGGACAGAGAAAGAAGGGAAGAAGTTGGGGGGAAAAAAACTAGTATTGTGTGTGTTTATGTATGTGTGTATATTTATATGGTGTGTGTGTGCCAGATGATAGTCCACTTTTTTTTTTTTTTTTTTTTGAGGCAGAATCTCATTGAGACCAGGGGCTGGCTAATTAGGCTAGACTCTGACTGGCCTCAAGCCTCAGGGATCTGCCTGTCTCTTCCTCCCCAGTGTTGGGGTCACAGGTATGCACTACCACACCTGCTTTTTACATCGATGCTGGGGATTGAACTCAGGTCCTCATGCTTGTGTGGCAAACACATCACAAGGGAGCCACCTCCCTAGTCCCAGTTACCACAGTTTTATAGTTTTTATCACACATTATTTCAGCAAACATGTACATGAATACTTCCTAAACACCAGGAAACAATGAGGACAAACTATGACCCCCTCCCACCCCAGGAACACTGCTGAGGAAACCAAACTGTGCAGACAAGTTGCCCTTATGTCATTGGTTTTGGAATCCCCATGTGTTTAGTGTCCCAGACCAGGAAACTGAGGTTCAGGAGACTAAGTAGCTGGCTGAAGAATGTCATTGTTAGGCAGTGGCAAAGCTTGTACACTTTGCTACACTTTGCGGTATCTAGGAGACCTCTGTCACTCTCAGACCCTGCTGGCCCTCATTCCAGTGGGAGCAAGGCCTGAGGCTCTCCTGAGTTTTCAGAGCAGTAGAGGCAGATAGGGTTCTTGTCCCGCCCACAGTCACACAGCCTACCTGAAAAACCAGGCCCACAGTGCCCCACCTGCTCGTGCTCTAGCCTACTAGTCTTCACAGATGGATGAAGCCAACAAGCATCCATGTTTCCCACACCAGTGCCCTGTGGATAGGTGCTGCCATCATTCACCTGCCCCACTTCGGAAGCCGAGAAGCCCTTTACTAGGGAACTAAGAAGTCCCCTCTAAATCTCAGCACTCAGGAGGCAGAGGCAGGTGGGTCTCTGTGAGTTCGAGGCAGCCTGGTCTATGGAGCGAGTTCCAGGACAGCCTCCAAAGCAATATAGAGAAACCCTGTCTCAAAAAACAAAACAAACAAAAAAGAAGTCCCCTCAAAGGAAGCTGTCCCCAGGAGTGGCTGATGGGACAGACCATCTGTTTAGTCCTAGCAGCTCTGGGTTAGATTCAATTCTACTCTTGTTCTAATTTGTTCTTTTTTGGGCCCCATTAAGAAACACATGTGGGGGCTAGAGAGTTTGCTGAGTGGTTAAGAGCACTGGCTGCTCTTCCAGAGTAACTGGGTTCAATTCCCAGCATCCACATGGTGGCTTGCAACTGTAACTTTAGTCCCAGGGAATCTGATGCCCTCTTTTGGCCTCATTGAACATCAGGCAAGGCTCATGGGACACTGACATACATGCTGGGGAAACATAAATATTAAATAAACAAGAAAATATGTATGCACACTACACACAAAACAAATAATACAAATTTAACAAAACAAAAAAACCAAGGAAACATTCCTCCTGGAATTGGACGGGGCTTTGGATTCTGTGCTTGGTGTGGCTTGTGTGTTTGTGACATTCAATGGAAGTTCCAAAAGTATAGATTCCCAGGGCTGGCTAGCTTCCCTCCTGAATCTTAGAATCTCAGCATTGTCTTCTGTAACATGGGGTGAGCACCTGTTAGGTAAGCTGTTGGGAAGGGTAAGCTCCCCTGTATGGGTGCCTATATTGCAAGTCCACATGCTTGGTTGGCCCTTTTTGTCACTGACTGAGGAGAAGGCCTTCTGGGGAAGAATTGTGAATCCAACCATGACCGGGAGCTTGACTTGAGTCCCCCATTTCTCAGTGATTTTTTTCAGGCCTTCCTTGGATGCTTTCAGGGGCCATAGGTTCACTTTCTGCTTCCAGTTGACAGCGACAGCTCTATTAGGGCTTACAGCGTCAGTTTCCTCCTTAGGAGCCTATAAGTGCCCTCCTAAACCTTATAGAGCTGAGGCTATTCCTGCCAGGAGAAGATCACCTCTTCCCCTCTGTCCTGACTGCCTGTCACCGCTCTTGACCAGTCCCCTCCTCTCTTGCAGAGACTTCCAGTCACTCTCCAAGGAAAATGTCTTTGAGAATAACCGTTTGGTGAGTCCTCAGATAGACGGAGCACAAAGGGCTGTGGTGGGAGGGGGCAGGGCTCACAGAGGGCCACTGCATTTGGAAAGGGGCTGATACAGGTCCTAGAGGAGGCCCTGGTTCTCCTCCCTTCTCATCTCTTCCCATGGGTGCCTTCATACCACCATGTGGGATGGTTCTGTAGTCACTCCATCCCCTGATAAATAAGCTGGTTCCATTCTGAGAAGTATTCACTAACTCTGCCGTCTCTCTGTCCTCTCTTCACTGTGGCTGTTCCTGTCTTCACTTTTGTACCTGTCTCCACCCTAGGCCTTTGAAGTGGCTGAAAAAGAGCTGGGGATCCCTGCTCTCCTGGACCCCAATGACATGGTCTCCATGAATGTCCCTGACTGTCTCAGCATCATGACCTATGTGTCCCAGTACTACAACCACTTTACCAGTTCTGGTCAAGGTAAGGGGACCCAGCCCTTGAGGGAGGCTGCTCTGGACCACTTACTTCTTTTCTGGGTGGTTAAGAAATAGCCAGAGGGGCTGGAGAGTTGGCTCTGCAGTTAAGAACACTGGCTGCTCTCCCAGAGGACCAAGTTCAATATAGTGGCTCAGAACCATCTATAATGGAATCTGATGTCCTCTTCTGGCATGCAGGCATACCAGACCTGCAGACAGAGCACTTATACATTTAGAAAAAAAAAAAATAGCCAGCATGGCTGGGTGGTGGCGGCACATGCCTCTAATGGGAGGCAGAGGCAGGAGGATCTCAGTTGGAGGTCAGCCTGGTCTACAGAGTGAGTTCAAAGACAGCCAGGGCTACACAGAACAAACCCTGTCTCAAAAAGGATGAAATAGCCAGGAATCAGCCTGTCATTCATTCACTGACTATGGATTTGCTAGTTCATATATTTATTGCATTAAACAACACTGGTTTGGGTGAAATCTCCATACCTGGGAGGCTGAGGCAGAAGGATTACCTCAAGTTTGAGGCTAGTCAGGGCCACAGAATTAGATCCTGTCTGCTTTGCTGTGTGTGTGTGTGTGTGTGTGTGTGTGTGTGTGTGTGTGTGTGTGTAGGTAGGGGGGAGACAGGCAATAAGCCCAGGTGAACTCATCTGTGAGTTCACCTCCCCTCACCCACTGCACTTCCTGCCTGACAGACACTTCCTGTCCCGACACTTCCTAGGGCTTTTTCTTCCTGCAATGCTGCTCTTTTCTTCTGGGCTACTGCACATCATCTTTGCAGTTCCTGCCTCTTTAGCTTCAGAATAGAGACATGGGGAAAGGGGCTATGCTGGAGGGACAGGTGTCGTCTCTGTTCCAGTCAGGTTGCTGAGCGTCCTAGGGCAGCCTGGGGACAGACAGACAGCTCCTTGCTGCATAGGGGAAGTGATCCAAAGAGGGGAAGCAAGGATACAAAAGCTGAACAGTGGGGCTGAGATCCAGGAGCCCTGAGTCCTGCACTGGCAGTTGCTGTCACGAGGCTCTGAAAAGTCCCACGTGGGTCATGTTTTCTGTATCTTCTGTGTGAGGAGAATCCAGTATGTCTCTTTTAATGGGGTGGAGTGGGACTGGAGAGATGGCTCAGCGGTTAAGAGCACTGTCTGCTCTTCCAGAGGACCCAGCACCCACATGTATGTACATAGAAGCTCACAACTGTCTGCAGTGCTAGTTCCAGGATATCAGATGCTTTCCTGGCCTCTGCAAGCATCAGGAATGAACTAACATACCTGCATTCATAAATAATAAACACCTTTTTTAAAAAGGCTGGCAGCCAGGTGGTGGTGGCGCACATCTTTAATCCCAGCACTCAGGAGGCAGAGGCAGACAGATCTCTGTGAGTTCGAGACTAGCCTGGTCTACAAGAGCTAGTTCCAGGACAGCCTCCAAAGCCACAGAGAAACCCTGTCTCGAAAAACCAAATAATTAATAAATATAAATAAAAGGGCTGGGTATGGTTTTGCATACCAGCTCATAGGAGGCAGAAGCAGGCTGATTTCTGTGAGTTTAAGGCCAGCCTGGTCTACAAAGGGATTTCTAGGCCAGCCAGGGCTGCAATGTGAGATCTTGTCTCAAAAAAAAAAAAGGAAAAGAAAAAAACAAAACAAAAAAAACCCCTGCGGTTCTAGACCTGGGAATGTAGCTTAGTTGGCAGAGTACTTAAACACCACACATAAAGCCCTGGCTGGGTTCAGTTCCCATACCACATAAACCAGTGGTGGTGGCACATGCCTGTAATCCCAGCATTTGGGAGATGGAAGCAGGAAGACATTAAGTTCAAAGTCTTTGTCAGCTATACCACCTGGGATACAGGAAATCTTGTGTTTTTTAAAAAATTTATTGTGCATTGGTGTTTTGCCTGCGTGTATATATGAGGGCATCAGATCTTGGAGTCACAGACAGTTGTGAGCTGCCATGTGGGTGCTGGGAATTGAACCCAGGTCCTCTGGATGAGCAGCTAGTGCTCTTAACCACTGAGCCATCTCTCCAGCCCAGGAAATCTTGCCTTAAAAAGAATGAAATCAGGCTTTTGAGATGGCACTTGCTGCCAAGGCTGGTGACTGAATTTAAGCCGTAGAATTCTCACAGTGGTGGAAGGAAAGAACTAATCCCTGAAATGTGCCCTCTGATCTTCACTTGTGCTCCATGACACTTTCAAGGTCCTGCCCCAAAGTAAGTAAATATTAAAATGTTAGTTGAAAAAAAAAAAAAAAAAAAAAAAGGCCTGAAGAGATCCAGGTGTCGAGATGACTCAGTGATTAAGAGCACTGGCTGCTCTTCCAGAGGACCCAGGTTCTTTTCCCAGCAACTACATGGCAGCTCACAACTCTCTGTAACTCCAGTTCTAGAGGAACTGACACCCTCACTCGGACATGCATGCAGGCAAAATACCAATGCATATACTAAATAAATTATTAAAAAAAAAAAAGAGCCAGGTGGTGGTGGTGCATGCCTTTAATCCCAGTACTTGAGAGGCAGAGGCAGGAGGATCTCAGTGAGTTCGAGGCCAGCCTGGTCTACAATCGAGTTCCAGGACAGCCAGGGCTGTTACACAGAGAAACCCTGTCTCGAAAAACTAAAAAAAAAATGAGTTCTGTTCCCCTGCACTTATGTCTGGAGCTCACAACTACCTGTAACTCTAGCTCCAGAGGATCTGGCCTTTATAAGCATTGCTCTCATGTGGATAAAGCAACACATAGACATACACATATACACATAATCAAAACACAAAAGAAAACCTTAAAATTTTAAATTAGGTAAAGTGTTATGGAGGATGCATGTAGCTGGCTTAAGCCTGCTGGAACTTTGGTATCTGCACTTGCCAAGGACAACTGCATTGGAAAACCCCAGGGTCACTAGTGGGAAGGAGTATAGCTTCAGTAGAGATAAGAACATGGCCTCGGACTTTTCCCTCAGACTTAACCTCCAGCCTCGGTCTCCTCTTTGCGATGGAGTCGTACATAGTGCCACCTCACGGGGTTGCTGTGGGGAGTAAAAGAGTATGTGTAGAGCATGTTTGCCCTCTGGTTTAGGACTCGCATGTTTCCAGTTTGGGTGGTACAGTTTCACGACTGACTTTCGAAGTCTGGGAAATGACTGACATCTGCAGTGTGTTGTTGATTTATAAAAGATGAACTTCAGCCTAAGGGTGTTTTTTAGTTCTGATAGTTTTATTGGGTGGAAGCCTGCTGTAAAAGAAGAGTGTGTGTGTGTGTATCTATACTGTTGATTAAGTGTGCCTTGCATAATAGTCAGGATCCATGAATGGACCGTGTAATCCTGATCACAATTCTATTTCCCAAGCTGCATTGCTCTACTACTCTTTTTTCTTTTCTTTTCTTTTTTTTTTTTTTTTTCTTTCGAGACAGGGTTTCTCTGTGGCTTTGGAGGCTGTCCTGGAACTAGCTCTTATAGATCAGGCTGGTCTCGAACTCACAGAGATCTGCCTGCCTCTGCTTCCTGAGTGCTGGGCTTAAAGGCATGAGCCACCAACGCCTTCCCAGCTACTGTTCTACTCTTTTCTCCCCCTCCCATCCCTTTCAGACGGTCTCTTCATGTAGTTCAGGCTAGCATGAAACTCAGGATGCTTCTTCTCACCTTCTAAGCCAGAGTTAAAGATGTGTCCTCATGCTCAATTTAATTCCCAGTCTCTGTGGCCAATCATGTATCTCTCTTAACCCCTTTCTGGAAGTCACTTCTTAGACCTGTCTTCAAGGTGTGGGTGTCCTGTGGGGTTTCATTGATAAAGTTTGTATCTTTTATGCCAGTTGGCCTCTAGACAAACCATTTTTATCCCATTTGCCACCACTTGATGTGTTCCAATCCCGTGTTCCCTCCCCCAAATGGTCTTGTATTGTACTTTCTGGGCAAGTGGAAAGTGTGTGTGTGTGTGTGTGTGTGTGTGTGTGTGTAGCGCTGGTTCTATCCTGCCTGGCCTCTCATCCGTAGCCACTGCCCCTTTCTCCTGGGGAGCACAGAGCTCAGAGCTTCCCACGTGCTAAACAGGCACCTTGCACTGAGCCCTATCCCAGCCCCACATCTTCCTCCTCTTCTCCTTCCCCTGCAGATCATCACTGTCTGCACAGCTTTGATGCTGATGCCTCAGCACCTGGAACTTCTCGTGCCTTTAGCAAGTACTTTTAGAGCCCTTGCTTGTGCTAGGCACTGTGTTAGTTGCTGGGGAAAGAGGAAGCCTCAGAGACTGTGTTGTATGATGCTGGAGGAAGGGAAAGAAAGCATTAAACAGTACATTTCTCAGGAGCCCAGCACATTACCATTCTTACTATAAATACTTGTTTTGTATGCATGTGTATGTGTGTGCCTGAGCATAGCTCTGTGCATCATGTGTGTGCAGTAACCTGCAGGAGACCAGAAGGGCATTGGGTACCCTGGAACTGGACTTACAGGTGTTTGTGAGCTGCCATGTGGATGCCAAAAGCTCAAGCCAGGTCCTCTGTCAGAGACATATTTTAAGCCAGGCAGTGGTAGCACACACCTCTAATGCCAACACTTGGGAGGCAGATGCAGGTGGATCTCTGTGAGTTCTAGGCCAGCCTGGTCTACAGAACTAGTTCCAGGATAACCAGGGCTATCCACAAAGAAACCCTGTCTTGAACCCCCACACACCAAAAAATTTCACATTTATTTAATTTGTCTGTGCACACACATACCATGGCACATGAGTGCAGTTTGGGACAATTGTGGGAGTCAGTGCTCTCCATCCACCATGTGGGTTCCGGAGATTGAACTCAAATCTTCAGCCTTGGCAGCAAGAGCCTTTACCTGCTTCATCATTTCACTGGCTCTTTAATTAATTATTTTTTGAGATGGGGTCTTGCTTTGTAGCCCAGACTAGCTCAGAATTCACATTCCTCAGCATCCCAGGTACTGGGATTACAGGTATGCACCATACAAGCACACATGTGTGTACCTTGTTTATTTTTGGTACTGGGGTTGAACTCAGAGCCTTGATCATGTTAGTCAAACACTCTGTGGATGAGCTGTTTGGACACCTGACTTGTTAAATTACCACACAGAGTTCTAAAGACGTTAGAGGTTGGGCTTTGTTTTACTCCTTGGGTGCAGAGGAGTCTCTCAACTTGACACTAGCTGATGGAGGAGAAGATGGTCTGAGGGGTGCCCTGGTATGTGTGTGGGGTTTCCTCTGACTCCGGGCCACATCTGCTCGCTTGGAGATAGGCAGGTGACCTCAGTGAATAGGCCACCTCTCTGAGCCTTCAGATGAGGCTTCATCCCTCTGTCTGAGTGGGAAGGAAGCTGTGACCTGGCCTGCTGTACCAATGCTTGTGATGGACCTGTACAGTGGGAATCGCTGGCTCCATTTGAGGGAGACTCAGCCACTGAGTTAGTAGCTTGCCCCTGGCACATGGCTTGAAAGTAGAGGTGTTCCCTGCTCTGTGTTACATGGAGTACAGTTGGGCCCAGTGTTCTGCCCAGAGGTGGTGCTGTAGAGATTTGGGTGGGTTGGTAGTGCCCTGAGCTCCAGGTTCTGTTCCTGCCTCAGGGTCTTTCCTGTCTTGCAGCTGCTGTTGCACCACCAACCCCAGCAAAGGACCCAGCACCCCCCTCCCCCACATCTGCATCGCCTGCTGTGAAACCAGGAGAGGACACTCAGGTAGGCAGAGTCCTTGGGTCGGAGAGTAGGTGAGGGGCACAGCTGTCATTACAGTGACTGCTGTGGGAGGAAGTAGGCCATGGCTATATTCAGAGGGCATTCTCTGCTGTTGTCCTACTGAGTTCCCAGGGCCAGGGTGCCATCCCATCAGTCCCATTTTATAGGAGGGAGCCTGGATGTTTTCTCCAGACTTTGAGTGAGTCACTGTCATTGCTGTGACTGAGTGGATAAACCTCATACTGTCCTTGCCATCATGGGACTGTCAGGAGCTACATGCATAATGATGGGAATATTCCCTTTGACTCTGTGGAGTCCGAGCTTTGAACCACTCAGTGTGACTTCACTGAGGCCCCTCCACAGTGTTTATTATCTCTCAGGCCCTATTGTCCAGACAGGAAACAATGACTCAGTAAAGTTGGGTCCTTTGTCCAAAGTCACTCAGTAGAGAAGTGGGGGCCACCTTGTTAGTCCCCTCTCCAAAGGACATGAGCTTTTGATGAGCTTTAGAGAGAAGTAGGCCCAGAGTGACTGCCCAGACTGCCTGAGTGGGCTGACACCGGTGGGTTAGCTGATGGAGAGCCAAGGCCACCAGAGGAAAGGAGGGTTGGCTAGAGCAACTTTACAGCTGAAAGTTGCCTCTCCTAGTGTTAGGAACCTTCCTTGGAAGTTGGAAGTCTGGGCTTCACTGTTTCCGTACTGGCTTGGGATATTGAAAAAGTCATCCTTCTCTGGGCTCTGGCTTTCTCATGTGGGAGAAGGTAACGGCCTCCTGTCCTCTAGCTCTCCTAGACTCTGATCTTCATGTGTTAGCACCATGGAGCTTGGTGTACACTTGAGGGACATGGCTGCAATGGGGAGGGGAAGGGAACTATCCAGGAGCAGCATGGCTGGTAACTCTACCCCATTTCCTGCAGGGTGATGACCTCTCCTCAGACAGCCTGTCTGAGCAGGGCAAACAGCAGCCCCCGAGCAGCGTTTGCGCAGCCTGTGGGCAGCGGGTGCACCTAGTGCAGCGGTACTTGGCTGAGGGCAGGCTCTACCACCGGCACTGCTTCCGGTGAGTGCTATAGGGCAGGTCATGTCTCCCAGCATCTGGGAGGGATCACCCTGGGGTCAGCACACTGTTCACACCCACTGAGCTGTTCACACCCACTGAGCCATTTGCACCCACTGTGCCTCACACCCACTGGGCTGTTCATGCCAAGCATTCAGCTTATCCTCATAACTGAGGAACAAACTATGGCTTAGGAAAAAAAAGACCAGCTCGGTCACAGGATTTCCCTCCTGTTCTCATTCTTTTTAAAAATGTATTTATTTTTATGCATGTGTATATGACTGTGAAAGAGGATGCCATGTGTATGGGGTTGCTCTTGGAAGCCAGCTGGAGTTGGAGGCAGTTGCGAACTCCCAAATGTGGGTGCTTAGAACCAAACTCAGGACCTCTGGAAGAGCCGCAGATGCTCTCAAATGCTGAGCCGCCTCTCCAGCCCCAGTCTTTGTGAGGTGCTGAGGCTTAAACCCAGTACCAGGCATGTGCAGGGCTAGCATCCCACCACCAAGCTTTATGCCTAGCCTCCTCTCACCATTGGAGCTCAATTGAAACAAAGAATTTTCTTAGATTTAAATGTGACTTCCTGGGGATGCCAATTTGTTTGTTTGGTTTTGCAGTGCTGGGACTAAAGCCAGTTCTGTGCCTGGTAGGCAAGCACTCTACCACTGAGCTATACTCCCAGCTTAAGGAAGCCAGGTTTTTCCTTTCTGCTTTTTTCTTTTCCTTTCCTTCCAAGGCAGTGCCTCAGTGTGTAGTCCAGGCTAGCCTGGAAATGATAATTTTCTGACTTCAGTCTCCTATATGCTTTGATAAAGGTGTGTGCCACCATTCCCTGGTGTGGTGCATACCCCTTTAATCCCAGCACTTGGTAGGTAGAGACAAGCGGATCTCTGTTTCAGACCAATCTGGTCTACATAGCAAGTTGCAGGACAGCCAGGACTATTACACAGAGAAACCCTGTCTCAAAAAACCAAGTGAGACCCTGTTTTAACCACCCCCTCAATAAAAAGGTGTGCACCACCATACCTGAGGGGCTGAAGAGAAGGCTCAGCACTTAAGAGTAGTGGCTGCTCTTGCAGTGGACCCAAGTTTGATTCCCTGGACCTATATGGTACCTCACAACCTTCTGTAACCCAGTTCCAAGGGATCTGATGCCTTCTTCTGACCTCCTTTGGCACCAGGCATACATGTGGTGCATAGACCTACATGTAGGCAAAATGGCCCAACACATAAAATAAGTAAATCTTAAAAAGTAAATCCTTAACCTTTAAAACCAGCACTTGGGAGGCAGAGACAGAGGCAGAGGCAGAAGCAGGCAGATCTCAGTGAGTTTGAGGCCAGCCTGGTCTACAGAGTGAGTTCCAGGACAGCACACATTTGCTATTACTGGATGTGCATACATGGTATGAAGCATGTCAGTGGATGCACAGCCTGCACAAGAGTTTCCTGCAGCTGTGTCGTCATCACAGCAGTCACTCTGATATATTATTGTATTTTATTCTGTTTCATTAAAAGCAAGCCGAGCTGAGGCCCTCTCTCTCTCCCTCTCTCTCTCTACCCCCCATCTCTCTCCCCCTCTCTCTCTCTGTCTCTCTCTGTCTCTCTCTCTGTCTCTCTCTCTCTCTCT